AGCCCCAGCCCTAGCCCCAGCCCCAGCCCCAGCCCCAGCCAGTACTTACTCCCCTCACACACCCATCCCCTCCACACCTCTCCCACACACATGCAGCTCCCCCCACCCAACAGTCCCCAGCCCTCCAACTCCTACCCTCCACAGATTTATCTGCATTCAGCTTCTGGGGCTGTTCCCACCACTCTGCTTGGCTGCACGCTGTATAGTTGTGCGCATGTGCACGTGCACTCACACATACACACAGAGCTCCCTGCCTCCAATTGCCCACCCCCCACTCCCACCAGCAGAGCAGACAAAAATATTGGACACTGGTTTAGATTTCAAAAAACCACCTGGACAGAGATCGGAGGACTCAAAAAGAGGACATGTCTGGGAAAACCTGGACATAGGGTAATCCTAACCAAAACATAAAAAATAGCAAGCTGTTTGTGATCAGACCATTTGTTTATTGACCAGTATGAGGGCGAAAGGCTGTTAAAACTAAGTGTAGGTAATAAGATTTCAGTCACGTGACTTTCCCAGTATGACTGGTAAATGCATTCCAGCAACAGTACATCTCATATAAGATCGGTAACTTTATTTTTCTAAAGAGGGGAAAGGGGGAAAAGACAAACAATGAGAAAATGATATCTTTGAAACATAAAGAAACCTCATTTCCATTATACTTGTGCTCTGCCTAAAGGCAGATTTTCACAGTATCTTCAATATAAAGCAATAAGGTTTTCAAACCTCTAACGTTAAGTTTGAAGTTTGTTCTTTTCAACAGAACTCATTTGACACTGATGAAAGATATCTGACGATCTGACTTCGGGCCATGAACCTTCATAAGGAGGAAGACTGTTTTGCCAAAAATTTTAACAGAGATCTACCCTGCTTTTTCATACATCTACTGGATATTAAAAGGGTTAAAAGGAAATGTCATCAGCAAATCAATACTAAGATGCCTTCAGGATACAATAATACTTTTTATTTTTAATTTTAGTATTTTCAATGGTTTTCAATAAATTAAGCATTGTACATTTGCCAAGAGCTTCAATTCTCATCAAATATTTATACACTATTTATTTAGGAAATGTTAACAGGTTTACAAATAATTGCCACATAAACATCAGATATAAACATTTAATTGTCATGAAACTGATTTTTCTTGGTTTGTTTACAGAACCATTATGCAACTTTATGGTAACCACATTTCTCTGCTCTCATTAGAGTGAGCTGTCTTATAGACGCTCATGGAATGGGCTTTTTTACACCACCTACAATATGCTGTTTCTGGTGATTTTACTAATTGAGTGATTCTGTTCTCATTTATCAAATAGGCACATCAACCATTAATTTTTAAAAAAATGGAGACTTATGCTAGATTTTTGTATGTGAATATATCTTGTCTGAATATTATAATGAACTATCTAAATACCTACTTGTTCTCTGTTTTGTTGGGTATGGAACTAGTATATTAATTTTTCCATAATGACAATCTCCCCATGCTTTTTTCCCAAGGAGAGGGAATCAGTGGCCTAGCAATTACTAACAGATGACAGATTTATTTTTCACTTCTCTGAGTGCGGCATTCATGTAAAGAATCCTCAGGAGAAAAACTATAAGGACACTGGGTAATAAATATCCAACTGTTTATAATATTTAGTTATGAACCATAGCCCAGTAATGAAAATGCCCATCATATAAGTACAACATCTGTTCATTCACAGTTTTTCCAACATTTATTCCCATTTACTTTATCTATGTATTTTAACCAAACCAATGTGAGGTACTATTGAAAAAAATTAATAAACATTCTTTTATCATACTACAGAGATTTCTGATCCTCTTTACCAGATCAAAAACCATTCCTGTAGGCCAATATGTCCATCCAAATCCTTGTCCTGCTGTGTTGTATATGGACATTGCTTTATTGGGGAAGATATCTGATGAGACGGATATAAGTGAATTATATTTTTGTATCCTAATGAACAGATAACAACACTTCTATTAAAGTTAACTTTCTGTATAGAACCAATTACATAGAAATTTAAGATATACAATACTTAGCATTAAGAGATATTGATACCAAGGGAAAAGGGACATATTAAATTTAGCTTTAATTTCTAAATAAATTAGAAAACTTTATTTGGTGAATGAGAGCAAACAGTATACAAGCCATCATTTTCTGTCATTAAAACTTTTTGGTTTGTGCTTTGGATTTAAATCTGAA